TCTCTCTCTCTCTCTCTCTCTCTCTCTCTCTCTCTCTCTCTCTCTCTCTCTCTCATTCTCTTTCTATCTATCTCTCTCTCGCGAGTTTCTCTCCCGTCGATATTACAAAACCGGCCATAACTGACATGAGAGCTCGCAGTCTCAGATCAATCTCGGTATATTTATGACAACGTGCGAGAAAGACGGCGCGTGTTCGTTAAACGCTCGGCACGTATTGCAAAATCGTCGTCGTCATCGTCGGTGGAGTCATTCGTCATAACGGCTCTTGCGGCGCTTGAGAAGGGTGTTAATTATTTGTGGTTTATTTGTGAGCTTAATGTCGATAGATTAGCCGTTTCGTTGACGGACGAATCTGCCACGAAAAGGTGGGGCAATCTCTCGCGATAGAAATGATAATTGAATGTGCCTGTAATAAATTGTTAGATTCTGAAAGGAATTTTTAACATTCTATCTTTCTTTTGAGAAATGTCCCGGCGAGAGATTTCCGAGAGTAATTTATTTAACTGGAGGAGAAATGCAATTTTTTACACACACATACACATAATATATAGAGTATATATATGTGGTATTCTGGAACAAATTTAACATTTTTTTCTTTTTTTTTAATTGCCCCGACTGAGAGCAGTCTCTGAGAGCAGTTTATTTCGTCAGAGACAAATTGGAACTTTTTATTCACAGTACATAAAATTATGTACACGACGCATAAAGTAAGTAACGCAATTATCGTAACATAATAACAGCGCACCGATAGAAATTCACTCGTCTGCCTGAAAGCAGACGAGTGGAAGCAGGCGAACAGGAAGAGAAGCGCAGGAATCTTTCAAGATAATCGAATATAGAAGCCCTGATTGAATAAATAACGCCGTAATCGCGTAAAATGCCTTTTACACCGCACTTGAAAAGATCCGCGCGCGATTCACTCGATAGCATCGCCGAATCGTACATGTGAGTAGGCACACAAATGTATAACATCGTAATTGCAACGTAATTATCTCGTAGAATCCGCCAACACCGCCGTCGTCACCATCAACGGACGAGCGAAAGAAAAGGAGGAAGCGAAAGCAACGAGCGTATCTCCCCGTCTTTCTCCCACGCGCCTCTTTTTCCGTCTCTCTCTTTCTCTCACTCTTTTTCTTATTCCGTCCTGAACGCGTTTTGTTGCGACGTTCGTCAGGTCCGCGTGCCGCCGCTGCTATGGCTTTGCGTGGGGTTGGAGCGGGCGCCGGCGGGCGGAGGGTGCGGAGGCGGCCGGGCGGCCGGTGGGTGGCGTGCTGACGTCACCGTAGCGGCATCATCGGCCGCGTGGGCCAATAGGTGCGCTCACACTCGGGCCGGGTCCATCGATCCGCCGGCTGCTGCTGTCGTGTGCGCGTCCCGGGTTATGACGTCCGAGGTGACGTCACCGTTAGCGCCGTTCGCCTCTCTCCTGCCGCACCCCCGCTCGTCGCCGTTCTACCGTTCGCCGCTGTTGCCACCGCCGCCGCCGCCGCCGCTGCCGCCGCCGCTACACACGGTACGGTTTTAATATAGCGGAGGAACGCGCGCGATCCGGACTCAGTTACGCGGCGACCGGCCACTCGTCGAGTGTACCGCTCCCTTGGCAGCTCGAAGGTTCCAGGCTCTTTCACCTGTCTCTTGTTCGCTCGTTCTCTCTCTCTCTCTCTTTCTTTCTATTTCTTTTACTCTATCTCACTCGCACTCTACGTTCCTCGACGTCTGCTGCGCTCCGTCCAGAGGCCTGACGCGAAAGCACCGACCGTTTGGCGCGCTTAGGATCGTGCGGGAGCGTTCGTACGAGGGTGGTGCACTTTCGCGCAGCGTCGACACCTGTGCGATCCCGCGAGTTTTCCGCGTGTCGACCGCCGCGATCGGCGCGGCCCGCGACGTTAATCTCGGCTACCGCGCCGCGTAAGTGCTGATTGGTAACCGCGAGGACCGTCTACCCGTAGCTCGCTTCTCGTCGGCAAGAACCGAGCGGCAAGTGCATTGAAGAGCTCGTTCATACGGGAAGAGCGACGATGTCGTCCGATACGTTGCGGCAGCGGTAAACGCCGTCCGGGAAGAAGCATCAGGATTCTGCATGCGAGTGCCCAGGGCGGAAGTGTTCGGGCTCCTCGGTGGGGCGCTGACCTCCGACGACATCATCAGGAAGGACTCGCCTTGCCCTACGACGACGCACGCAGGTCGGTGATACTACATCACGTGTGCTCTCGTTCGTTCGTTCGTTCGTTTATTTGTTGTTTCGCGAGAGGAGGCTGCGTTGTATCCCTCTTGTGTTTTGTGTGTGCCGCGTGTGGGGATCGCGAAGCGCGCCTTCTCCACCGGCAGGGGGTCTTCACCTGGCTCATCGTGCTCCTTCATCTCTTTCTCACCCTTTCGCCTCTATCTTTTTCTTTGTCCCTCTTACTGTGGCTCTCTCTCTCTCTCTCTCTCTCTCTCTCTCTCTCTCTACACTTGTCTCTTTCTAATCCGACAGTTACGTGCAATCGACAAAACGCACATTCAGTCAGCTGGCGCATGAGGATTTTCCCGTGCGCTTCGTCGACAGTCTGTCCGTCCGCTGTCGTTTCTACTTCGCGCTCCTTCCCACCCTTCCGCCGTTCACCCGCCAGCCGGCGTGGCGCGCATGCTTCGTTTAAAGGGATGTATCGATACTGAACGTCGGCTGCTCTTCGCATTTCTTCGAGCGCGACGCGGACTCATAACCGGTTGGCGCGGGCCATGTGACACGCTCCGATCTCACCGCGTATGATCTCATTGATCAAGATCACACGAGTCAAAGGGACTTGTCGAAGTGAGACACACTTGTCGAAGTGCTCATCGAGGCACACGACATTACTACTAATTGGATCTTCGCGCGGGATCTGATCGGTAGAGACACCTTCGATGCCCACGCCGGTCGCAGCCGGTAGTCCGAGGGCCAGTGAAGCGCTCACTTGAGTATCCCCGACGGAACCAGTCCAGACGGAGACGTCTCGCGCGGCTCCGCAGGGCCACGCGATCCGCGAGAGAATCCTCCCGCGGGATGCGCGCGATCAGCGGTCGGCCGGTGAGCAGCGCGAGCCCGTTTGAATGAAGCGCGAGCCCGTAGCGCCGCTGATCGTACGCGCGATGCGCACCGTCGAGAACAGCACCGGCAGCACGGAAGCGACCGGCGCCGCAGCGCATCACCACCACCACCACCACCATCACCACCAGCAGCAGCACCACCATCATCATCATCATCACCACCGCGGCCACCCCAACGACGTCGTCGCCGTCGCTACCGCCACTGCCGCTACCGCTACCACTCGTCACGTGGGCGTCGTCGCCGGCGAGCAGCAGGACCGCGAGCGACCGGCGGCGTCGATCCACCTGGTGGCCACCGCCACCCCCTATCACCAGGTCACCATTGCGGCGGACACCAACAACAATCACGATCATCATCGGAATCTCGAGCACCACGGCGCGACGCAACGCCATGACCATTGGAACAAGTGTAAGTCAGTCGCGAAAAAAACAAGCGCGCTGCAAGATATCGCGGGATATTACCACCCTCACATACCTTCTCGTACTCCCGTAAGCTGTTCGTTGCTGGTGATGGTTACCAATGGTGGTGATGTACGAACGATGATGATGATGATGATGAAGATGACGATGATGGTGTCATGCTGGTGATGGTAGTGGTGGTGGTAGTGGTGGTGGTGGTGGTGTTGGTGTTGGTCGCTGCGTTGGGGGTGGTAGATCGCAGTAAAGACGCGAACACGTATGCCTCCTCGCGCGTTTCTCAATGATCGCCCTTGCCTATTGTTCTTTTTTATTTTTTTGTCGTGGATAATGTAAGTTTCTCACACGGGCTTGTTTATGCTTTAATGCTCGCATTGCACTTATATCGTTAGATGTCTAGTTTGAGAAGCATTAGGCATCTGCTCTGAGGATGCGCCACGTTTAGAGGTCTGATGCGATTGATAATTGATAGTCGATAGGGAGGCAGGAGATTACGAGCGGAATTTGCTCAAAGTGAGATAAGTTCAATCTTAACATATTTCTATTTAAAGGGTGGAACTGGATAAAACGTTATCGACTGAATTAAACTTCGTATGTCGCGCGTTCGTTTCTCAGAAGCGCGACGTCGGTAACAGTCACGACACGGATGTGAGATAAACGCAGAGAATCTCATAGTAAAGATTGCTATAGGACTTTGTAACCGAGGGACGGGGGTCGACATTCTACAGTAATTCGCTATCCTTTCATTTCATATGTGCTCCTTTTATTTTAGGGACTGAAATCTTAAAACACTTGCTATTTGTTTCTATTATTTTAAAATACTCGCTACGTTTCTGACAAAATTTACTGTGTTCCTTAGCAAGATCGATCTTATTGACAGTCCATTCCTATGCTATTAGAAACGTAGTAAAATTAAAAAGAATATGTGCACGGAGGAAAACTACAATACATATTCTCTCCGTGCGCAATGTGTGTTTTCTTTGATTGTTCTTTACGTTTGCAAGTCGGATAAAAGCATACAGGCCCGATTGAAGGAGATGTATCATTTTGCACGCTTTTGTCCGTATTTTCCGGACAAAATTAAAATTGTGAATTAAGAACGGCTTGTCAGAGAATCGAAAATATATGTGGATACAGTTTGTTTTTTTATCAAATTCCTTCTCCACCTGGTAACGCAGGTTGCATGCCATTAAATATGATATGTGAGATGAAAAAATACCTCAAAATATTCATACATGATTTAGCGCGTGTGCATCTCGTGCGATTTTTAGGTTGCAGTCTGTTGGTTTCAGTTGCACAGGTCCGAAATTCGTCGGAATTAATACACGGTGTAACGATCCGTTACGCGTTTAAAATCCGATTGTTCAATCGCCGGGACATTATTCGTGTTAGAGGGCTTTTTACAGACACTCTTTGTGGTTGCGTTGTCTGGATTTTATTTTAATAACCGTGATTCGGGGTGACGACATGTTATAAGATCGACCAGCTATTTTAATCGGGAATTAAGCGAGGGATTTGAGCGCGTCAGTCGGTCTCTATTAGGAATATTAGTCGGCGCACGTTTAAAACCGGCGATCCCGCGAATCTGCTCGCGCAATAGTGTTTTACTATTTTTCGATAATTGCAACTCGTTTTCTGCACCATTTTCTGCGGTTAGCCGAGCAGCAGCGGCGTTAAATAATTGAGCGTTATTACGAGACGATTTGGGTTATCGCCGGTTCGCATCCGCCCGATATTTTATAAACGCTCGTCACCATTCGTGCTCGATATCTGCTTACGTCATTGCCGTGACGTAGACGACGGACGAGAATATCGTTGTTATTATTTCGCCTAGACAATCGGTGGTCCACTTTGCCGCGTTAATTCCGCGCCTGTCAATTAAATCACAATTCACCTGGACATCGATCGGCCGACGCGCGAAAATTATGACGTCAGGCGATTGCGGTTCTCTGAGTCGCCTGACACTTGAACGCTTTATTGTCGCTCTGAATTGTTTCAGCGCGTTATCCCTTTCACAATTCCGAGATTCTCGTGAAAAATAAAAATCGAGTTTTGAAATGAAACGAAACATTGAAAAGTCCGATGTGTTATTTTGTTCTCGAGTCGATATTTTCATCCTATTTTCAGCCTTATTGTTTCATTCAACATCTATTTTGATACTCTGAAACTTCAATCAATCCCTTCTGATTCTATTTAACTTATCCGACTCGAAATTTGGGTCCTACTTTCGGTCTCACTATTCCATTCACCTATTCCAACACCTCTTGAGTCGAAATTTGGCCCTGTGTTAAACTTTAAATTCTACAACGTAGTAGGAGCTAAATTAGCAAAGTAGGTTTAATTCTAATGATATAATTTACTCCTATTTTGATTCTGATGATGTCCGAAATTTCCCTTTTCATTTTCTTTAGCGTCAAAGCAAGTTGTATTATAGACTTTAGAATATCAAGATAGCTGTTGAATGGAACAGTGAGAATGGAAAGTTTCGACTCCGACAGGTTAAATAGAATCAAGAAAGGTTAATGTAGGAGTATCAAAATAGCTGTTAAATGGGATAGTAAGGTTGAAAGTAGAATAACAATTTCAACTTGAAGGCTGTTGAAACCTGTAATAAACTTATTTTGACGCTAAAGAAAATGAAAAGAGAAATTCTGGGCATCACCAGAATTAGACTTACTTTACTTTGTTAACTAGTTCATACTATATTGTAAAATTCAAGATTTAACATCAAGCCAAAATTTCGACTCGGATTGTTTGATACTTTTAGGACTGAACAAACTGTTAAACTTACTCTCTCATTTTCCCGTTGAAGGATTATCGTTGCAAATTTTTGGAAAGTTGACAGTTAATCAGACGATATGTTTGTCAAACCTTAACTTACCAAACGTGTTACCATCACCGTCATCTTCATCCCTTCGCCTCACACCCCCGAGCTAAGCACGCTTGCTCAAGCAGCGTCCATGGGACTTCACGTTATTCCTTCGTTTCCACTACATGTAGCAATTATTATGTTCAAAGATCGATCGACACGCGGGTGCTCGTGAAACTGCGAGAGCGTTTAAAAAATTTGCTTTTCAATCGAAAGGCAGACCCGGTCAGGCGCGTGGACGATCGGGGTGCGACGGAACCGTCATACTGCGCGTTCAGTCAGCACCTCCGCTCCCACGGGACTTTTTACAGGTGTAATCGGCACGTCGCGATAAATATAGTCTGGCAGTCGGCCGAGTGCAAGTCGTTTCTTTTCCGCGTACATACTTGGCTTGCACGCGCAGGGAAAGAAGAGAGTACGAGGACTACAAATATAACCACTTACGCCGTGCGGGCGCAAGTGCGGTGAGACGCCGGCCGACCGACCGACCGACCGACCGACCGACCGACCGACCGACCGATCGACCGGTCACCGGTTTCGCCGCATTGCCGCGCTCGAATTGCGACAGGCGACTGTAATGTTCTCGTGAAAGAGTAACGGCCGTGACAATGGTAAATCAACGCGCTTATGACTTCCTCCGCGCGTTAAGTGCCGTCGCGCCGTTACGCCGTTGGAGCCAGGTGTAGGCGCTGGCCCGCAGGTAGCGCGCGAGAAGAAAAAGTCAGAGACACGCCGGAGACAAAGGCGAGGCGGAACCGATCTCTGAAGTGTTCCTAATGGTCGGGACTCCCAATCGGAAATTCAAGCGGCAACCGGCGCTCTAGTCGGCGTATTTTTCCGAATTTCGAAGTTATAAGTTCTCGGATTCTTCAACTAATTGACTGTGCAAAAACGTGACAATCCTCCTCTGTGTTTTGTGCTCGCAATGCCCTTCTTAACCGTATATTCTTTTCTGCAGTAATATAGATATGCTGCAACGTGACTACTCTTGCTCCGATCGCGGGGTAGGTTAGTCCGAGGACTCGGGATAAGATGGCCACATGTAAAATTATGTATCCTGGTTATTGTTCCTGAGGTCTCATAGCTCTGCCGGTCTTTAAATAGTGACCAACTTGATCTCGTCTGTTCATAGCTCGATTTCACTCATTTTATAAATGAAAGTTGTTCTTATACTGCCTGAAACAATTGTCATATAATTGCAGGAGACTTCTAACCGATAACACGCGACTTAATGCTGCGATTTTAAACAGGATCGTAAGTCTCGTAACTTGTTCCTCGTAAAATACATAAGAACTTATGAGTAGATTTACAACTCTATGCAACATTATATGTCGTAATTACTCGTAAATATCTACGATTTCATGTAATTTACGATATTTACAAGTGATTGTACGACATATGATATTGCATAGAATTGTAAATCTACTCATAAGTTCTTACGAATTTTACGAGAACAAGTTATGAGACTTACGATTCTGCTTAGAATTGCAGTATAAATCTACAATTCTATGCGTAATCATATGTTTTACAATCACTTGTGAATATCGTAAATTACATGAAATCGTAGATATTTACGAATGATCATGTGACATACGGTGCGTATAGAATTGTAAATTTACTCATAAGTTCTTACGAATTTCACGAGAGCAAGTTACGAATCTTACGATTCTGTTTTTCACTTACGATGACTATTATAAATCACATTCCGAGACACTCGAAAATGGCTGCTCCTAAATCAGTTTGCTATTTTTTAACTAATATTGTTTCAATTTTAATAAATCTCGGAGAAAAGTACCTACGTTCTTAAATTTTGCTATTTCGTTTTCATTGTTCCTTTCACAACAGATATATAAACAAAACACTTAGCCGATGTACCTCTTGGGCCAACTATACCTATGTGTCTCCTACCCCAGAAAAGAGTTTGATTTTTATCGCCGCGCGTTTTTTATCGCGGCGACTAATAAATTCTGCAAAAAAGTGAGATAACTTTATTTTGTAGACTTATAAGTTTATTATATCTTCGCTGTTTTAAAAACGTATTAACAAGACGTTATGATATGTTTGGAGACAGCATATCCGGAATGCCGATTTACTAATCGTGGCCGACATACAGGCGACACACT